TTTAGCCCAGAATTTCTGGGATATGTATGTAGATTGTGTGCTCTCAAGGTCACATGGAATGGGCAGAAGACAATTAATAGCTCCCAAATATTTTTCCACATACTCATAGAGAACTTTAGAAGGTAACTATAATACGTGCTGTTAGTCTACTGTGTACTGACATTAAACTGAACCACTGTTCCATCCTTGTCTTTAATTGTTCAGATACTTCAGTGTTTGTCATTTACATTTTTTGGTTTCTACTTGTCAAATGTATTTGCATCTTTCAGTGGTAGCTATTTTCACAATGCATGAGTCAAAAGTAGCTCAGGTACTAAATTTCTATATTTAACAAAGCATTAAAAATTATGGGTGTGCATGTGGGAGTGCGTGTAAATGGATGCTCCATTCTCTGTTTATCGCTATGTACATATAAATAACATAACAATACTGAAAGTTTCCTAGTAAACTGACTTCAGTCCTAACTTTGAGGAATCATCTGTACGTGAGCAGGGAAGTTCAAGTCCCCAGTCACTTGAATGTTTTCCTTCCTGTTAAAACTGTTGACGTATAAGGTGAGCTCATAGTCACTGTTAGTCAACAGTGACAAACTCCGATTGTACTGGTCTGGGATAAGTGTGAACTGAAATCATATAGGTGATTGGTTTTCTACTTTATTAACCAATCTTAGACCAGAGGTGGCTTCCTTCCTCCTCCCTGCAAAAGACCATCCTCCCCTGCCCATGTAACATAGTAGATTTTTCTTCTGATGTACCCAGTCAAGAGTTTAAGATTTCCAGACTGAATATGGAGATCATGGAATCCTAGCACTCCTAGACGTATTGCTTTGAAAATAACTAGCTTTCTTACACATCCTTGCAGGGTCAGCTTTCACCAACCCATTTCAGGCCAAAAGGGGAGAACAATTAAGATACCTCAGCAAGACAAAATCAAAATGGAGCACAAAAGTACAGCGTGTACTTTAGACGCTTAGGCAAACCCATTGATTGGGGGAATCCCTCCTTTTTTTTCTCTTGCTGTATAAAGTACTTAATCATTGCTAAGCTGAGAAGTACTTCAAGCCCCTGTTGTCACCTTTGCTTCCCTTTCTCTCAATCTACCAAGCTGTCTTTTTCCCAGGGCACGTGTGAATAATTCTGTGTTTTGATTCAATACCTTTGTTCTCCCAGGTAAGCTATTTGAACCAGTGTTATATCTTTGCAGAGGTTCATCTTTTCCAACAACTCTTTTTTAAAACGTTAATGTTGATGGAAACCCAATATATTTTTATACATTTAGCAATGGAGACAATGTCAACAAGCACATTTTAGTCAGTGTCTTGCACGTACAATCCATCAGCTTTACTTTGAACAATTGCAAAAAAAGTGCAACACTGAGTTACAGGGTAGGATTATGATTGTTGTAATGTCCTGTGCAGTCTAAACTTTGTATTTTATCATGCTTAGCCTAGGTTAAAGATTAATTAAAATATTTTTCTATGTAACAAGGACTGAATAATAGTCATTTTCTCATTCTTGTCCATTAATATGTCATTTGCAAGAAACATTATTATATTATATCAAGAAGAGGACTTTCACAAAACTGCTCTTTTCCTATGCATTCACCAAGGTAAATTAGGGAATCTAATCTATTCTTGTCCTTCCAGGCAACACCACAGTTGTCTCATGCACAAATTGGTTTGAAAGAGGGAGTGATTGGCTTGAGATCTGCTCCCTTTACAAGATACCGTACAGCATGGGTAAGCTAATACCAGGAGATTAACCATCTAGATAACCCACTTCTCCTGTGCACAGAAAACCTGATAACAAACTGGGACACTCAGAGATGCGGGCTGTTCTCTGCTTTACTCCTTTGCAACACAGTTTGTTCAGAGCCCATTACGGTCTAGCCCTTTGTGAGATGCCAGCTGGGTTTCATTATTATAGAAGACAGTACGCATCACTCAAAAATAGTAGTCATGCATTAACAGCTCATATACCTCCTTAAGTAACAAGAAATCCACTACATACAATGCCTAGCTCATATATGGTGCATAACATATCCAACAGTGCTCATAGGTTTGTTAATGTTCACCTAAGTTGAATACAATATTGAAATGATTCTTACGAAATATTTCTCTTAGAGTATTCTAGAGAGGATATAAAAGAAGTTAGAAATTTCTCTCATTCATGAATATCACTGTAAGATCCTGATCTCACACATATTTTAAGTACAACTCTTCTTTCGAGCAAAAATAGAGTCATGACACATCCAAAACCAGCAGCTTCAGAAAATGACAAATCATGATGAGTGGCTATTTGAGAGCCATCTTTCAACCTGTTCCTGTGATATTCAGTTTATAAATCAGTATTTTATTGTCTTATAACAAATAGAGTTTCAACTGTCATACAACCATATATGTTTCCCTTGTTCATGACTACAAAAGAAATTATTTTTCACCTACAGAAATGTAAAACTGTAGTGACTTTAAATGTAGCGTTTCATGCTCGTTTCTAATAGATTGATCTTTGAGTTGAATGCCAGAGCAAGGTATCCTATATATATTTTTAAATCCCCATCTTTCCTGTGCTGTACACCTTTGTTCTCTTTAGTTTTCTGTAGGAGACAAGGGTGTTTAGCTTCTTGCATAATTTGCTCCAGAATGCTCAAACAGGTGATGTGCGGTGGGATTGCCGCACTGGAATTCTTGTAGAAGGTGTCCTAGACTAGCTGCAACTATGCAATATTGAATACACATCTTGTAAGACGAGTTTAAGGTCCAAGTTCAATACATTTGATCAATAAACATAAAAATCAATCTGGAAGAGACTTGGAAAATTGCCTGATCCCTCACAATACCCCAGTGATGGAGATGCCACCACCTCAGTCCTGTGCAATGCACAACTATCTTTACTATTAAAACATTTGTTTCCTAACATCTATCCTGAACCTGCACTGCCGCTCCTTACCCATTGTGCAACCTGAAAGAGAAAAGAACTCATTCCTGCCTGCCCCCTTCAGACTGGTGACCTTTTTAGCTGGTGGATTCTCAGGAGAAACTTGTGCTAGACCTTTTGTGTGTGCGTGTGTGTGTGTGTGTGTGTTTGTAATGCAATGGAGGTTTAAGAGAACCAGTTACCTGCCAGTGACATTGGAGTGCCTGTAACCAAAGCACAGTGCACGTGTGGGAGGAACGCTGTGGGGCTCACTCTGCTCCTGATTTAAAATTGTTACAGAAGCATCAATATATGCTGATTTCCACTTAAAAGATCATACTATATCCATACAGTGGCCACACTGCACTGCTGTACTTTTGCTCAGAAATTGGAAGGACTTGCATGCGAGTCCTGAACGTGCATTTCGAAAAAACAGAGCAGTGCCTTGCTGTTAGCAATAATGTGTCACCCACACATTTGCATATATGCAAACTTATATTAAAAAAATTGTAAATGACACACCCTTCGTTCTTCTAGCCAAAAATGTATTTTTCAGTTGTGAAAGACAATTAAGCATACTTTCTTGTGGCCCCAGCATATAGATACATTTTCATATTGTCTATGACACCTATAAAGCAGGATAGTAGATGAAGAGTTGTGTCAAAGAAATACAAATATAACTGAGCAATCTTTACCTGACACACAAGACTTCAGTTAGTAAAGCTCTATATACTTTAGCTTATCTTTCTGGCATGCAGAAAGCACACGCAGGCTTGTTTAACAAAACATCCTTAAATGTTATGCAGATGAATTTGGGAAAAAAAAGTCACAACAAAGCCAGGTTATACTTAAAAATTTTCAATGAGCAAAGCGCAAACATAAAAATGAAATAAAATTAGCACAGTTTAATTTAATTTCTCTAACTTTAAGTAATAGATGGCTGTCTTACTTTACAATGCAATGTTTAACAAACCTGTTCATGAGAAAATGCTTCTGATTTCTGGAAACTAAACCTGTTGAGATATTTCTAAAGTTTAAGTGCCATCCCATATGGCTGCTTTGTTTTATGCCATTATTTCCTATGGATTCTTTTTATAGAAATGAAGTAGATAATTCTTGAACAAAAATCTCTGCCTTCATTTTTAATCCGGGCACTGCTACTTCTTGTCATAGGAACAAACATATTGTGAAGAAAAACTAATACACGTGCAGCCTATCCCTCTTCCAGGAAGTAAAAAGGGCAGTTCAAAACCAAGTTCTACGTGATTACCTCAAATTTATTTCCAGTCTTTTAAGGTTGCTTTTAACAAAATGAAAACTTGAACTTTTTCTCAAAAGGCTCCTTATATGCATAAGCAACAGACCACATACAACAACTTGTATGTCATAAAACACCTTGCAATGTCACTGCAATTTATGCCATACTGCTGGACAGTAACTAATTTTAAAATGAGATAATGGCCTCAGGAAATCCTGCTCTATCAATGCATCTCTCACCAAATTCTGGCTATGCCCTAGTTAGGGAAGGAGATAACACCTCAGAAACAGTCGTCTATAGAAAACAGCTTCTTCTATGAGGTTTTTGTTGGTATTCTAGAGATGTTACGGTGGAATAGGTAGTTTTCATCAGAGGGAATATGGGCAATAATCCATGAAATAATTAGAACAGTAAGATTAGTTAAAGAGTTGTGAGAAATCCATGAAGAGCAGGATATTTCAGCAGGTCACCACAACAGGCTTACAGAAACTGTTAACACAAACCAGCTTCTTAGTGAGTCTTTAGCTGCAAACTGAGAGAACAGAATTCAGAAATCCTGATGCTAAAGGCAGCAGTTCAAGAAACAAAACGGACTTGGACAAACACCACGCGGGTACAGCATCCAAAAGAATGAACTAATGTATTTAGGTGAAGGTTCGTCAGCCTGCTCAAAGAAGGCGATTCTTACACTGCAATGTGTAGAGAGTGTTACTTTTGTCAACAAAAGAGGGAAATCTAAATAGTAGACGTACTGATAGTGGATCAGGGTAACCTGACACTAGCACACAAAATTATCAGACGCAACACACCTTTGGACCATACTGTGTGAGATACTTTATTAATAAACCATCACTATGTTTGCATTAGTGTAAGACAAAAAATAATTTTACTCTTAAGAACTTCTATGCAGTTTATTAAAGCCTTACAAATAGACTGTATCCTGTATCTGAAATACACATAATGTTAACTAAAAAATTAAAAGCACTGTTCAGAATAATATTTATTTTACTGATACCGAATTTTTCTTGAATGAGTCCAACATTTTAACTCTTTTGATCTTTTTTAAGGCTCCTCCATGAACAGAGAGCTTTCTAAGAGCAAGGTCTGTATCAGCCAGTGGCCCTCCAACTAATTGAGGAGGTGTACTTTCTACGGTTACTAAGCAACCAGATCCAATCTGAAAAACAAAACAAATCAATTGCTTGACATTCGTGTTAGTATTTAAAATACGATGAGAGTTAAATTATGAGCTGATCTCTTGAAAATATTTTTCAGTGGGTGGAGATGCATGTTGAGGTTTCCTAGGTCCACTCAAACTACCCTCTGTACTAAAATCACAAGTTGTTCCCATCAATAAAAAAGAAGAGAGTGTTTTCTCAGCAAGTACCCTTATGCACTTTTCTTTTAGGCCTTCATGTCTGATCTTCAGAATAGACAAAAAGAAAATCAAGCCTTTATTACAGGAGATGTTTGCTGTGCAATGTATTCTGCTATTGGGATTTGTACATAATATTATTCACAGTTTTTGTTCTCAGATTTTCATTATACCTTAGTACTTAGAGAAAGAGAGAGAGAGAAAAAGAGAGAGAGACAGACAGAGGGGCAAGCGTGTGTGCAAGTGCTTATCTCAGTCTGCAATTGCCTGAACCCACTGCTCCAGGAAAAACGCAAGCTGCCAAGACTGAAGGAGATATACATTTTTCAGTCTCATTACTATTTTTTATACTGAACATGTTCAGGCCTTCGAATAAAAATCCTTGAGTGACAACTCTATCTTCTAACCATGATCTGCTAAAACAAACAGTGCAACTCTTTGAGCACATGTGGCTTGTGTTTAATTATATGATCTTGATTTGTTGGCAATAAGCACCTTAGCTAATGAAGATGTTTAGCAGAGAGAGAAAAACGACCGGTTCATGAAAAAAATGCCAGCAGGAGCTGTCACTTGTAATTCTTCCACGCAAGGTAGCTAAGGAATTTTATCTGATGTTGCTGATGAGTTCATTTTCTTAATATATTCCTCCAAAATGCACTAACCTCTTCCTTGTTTCTGTCTACAGCTGCGGAAGCATTGATTATAGAACTATGAAGATACTTTCCTGTTAAATCCTCTCTCTCCAAAGAAGTGAATAATCTTGTCTTGAGGCCCAAGACTCTAATGCAAAAATCCAGCTATGTATTTCTCTCTGCTAACCGTTTCCAGAATACTGGTGTTTGTATCTAAACTTTTCAGATTCTTTCTGTAAAATATACCTGATGAACAGTCATACTGGCACATCCATGCACCTAAATCTTTTTTCTACATCATTTCCACATCTATTCCACATCATCTTACATTCACAGATGTGTCCCTTCATATGTGTTCATATAAGTTTAGAGCAAAGATAATTTTCCTGCTCCAGCACTCTGAAATCATCCCCTTTCTTTATATCATCCCTTTTCTTTACCCCAGCTTGTCAAACCTCAACATTCAGTTACACTGTTACACCCCTTGTATCTTTTCATGCTTAAGTTAAGAGATAGAAATGAGAAAAAAAAAAATTCCCTGCAGATGTAATGGATGGCTCATCTGCAAACACTCAGGCAACTAGAAAGGACACCTTTACTGATTGTATTAGGCATTGCACAGATTTACCCAGTACTAAATGAAAAAGGTCTTGATCTCAAGCATGGTTTTTAGGAAAGGCTTTCCCGTAAGAGGTCCTTGTCAAGTAACATAGGGACCATCTTGCTCACGCTTTTTTCTGAGTAACTTTCAGATCTGATTCTCATTCTGACCAACCGCTTGTTGTTAGGATATATAAGAAGGGGGAAGTGGTGCTTGGCCATCATACTGGATACATTGCCTTGTGCATACATCTAAAAATAAGATGGAGGTAATTCCTCTATTAAGAGTTTTTGCAGCATGTTTTCATAGTCTTTGTAGGCTTAATTAGTAAGATATACGGAGATATAAAAGACTTTTTGTTAGTGCCTTTTCCTGCAGACATTGATTCTTTTCATCCCTAAAGAACTTTCAGCTACAGGAGATAAAGATTCTCTCTTACATGCTTGCAGTTTGTCAGCATAAAAATCAACAGAAAGCATAAGGAGCAGCACATATACAAGCAGAATAAACCCTATTTATGAAAATAAATCAATGTAATTTGGGATTACTTACTGTTGTACCAAGGCCTTTAATATCAGTAGAATGGACTGCTACGTTCTGGGACTTTGATTTAGATCTGGAAGCCTTTATTGACTTTTCCTGAAGCCTTTTTGCTTTCTAAAGAAAGTTGAAAAAACAAACAAACTCCAAATTATTTTAATTAGAATGAATTATATCATTTGCACCTGTTAGATAAAATGCAAATAATATAACAAAATTAGAGGTATAATTTCTACTGGGCTTTAATAGTAAGTACCACTATCAGGAATATAATGAGTAGAAGATTCATCCTAAATTGAATAAGTTTATGCACATACAACAAAAAATTATGTATCAGATAAGAGCGGCCACTAACATTCTGTCTTTCTATTGGTATCTTTCAATTCTGATGGCCAATTATTAATTTTTAATGTTAATATTAATAAATTAATTTTTTTTTAAAATGGAAGTATTCAACTGACCCAAATTCCATTTTATAGGATATTTCATTAGCAAAAAAACAACTACATAGTTTCATTAAGATGAGGAAATACAATTTCACAACACAGAAACATAGCTTAATTTAGATTGAGAAGAACCTCTGATCATCTGCCTCGTTCAGATATGGTGGGATTATGCCCTGGTTGTTGAGGGCGCTGCCTGTGCTGGGGTTGCCCTTGACTCATGCCTCATTTCTTCTGGTGGAACCACCCTGAACTTGCTGCTCCTTTTGAGCATTCCTCAAACTCGGCAAACTCAGCTCTCTCAGACTCTTCTTGCATGTCATGTGCTCCAGGCCCCTAATCATTTTAGTGGTCATCTGCTGCACTCCCTCCCTCTGGTTTGTGACTCTGTCTTGTACTGGGGGCCTGAAAACAGAATAAGCATACATGGCTTCTCAAGCGCCAGAAAGGAATAATCACTTCCATTCTTTCTAAATCAGCCTGGTATGCTGTTAGCCTTCATCTCCACAAGGGCACACTGTTGACTCATGCTCAACTCATCATCTCTCAGGATCCCGAGAGCTGCTACGCCACCAGTTGTTCCCTAGCCTGTAGTGATGCATGGGGATGTTATTCCATCCCAGGAGCAAGACTTCTCATTTTCCTTTCAGCTTAATGAGTTTTTTGTCAGCCCATCCCTCCAGCTTGTCAAGGTCCTTCTGAATGGCAGCAGTACTTGCTAACATACGGATTGCTTCCTCTAGTTTAGTGTCACCCATGAACTTTGATGAGCTTGCCTTGTGATCCACTACCCAGGCCATTAGTGAAGTTGTTAAACAGTATCAACTCTACTACTAACCTTAGGAACATCATCCATAACTGGCTGCCAATTAGGTTTAATCACTGACCACTGTCCTTTGAGCACAACTGTCCATCCAGTTCTTCATCTAACTTGTAGTCAGTGTCTCCCCAATTTGGCTACAAGGATGCTATGCAAGACTGTTGAAAATCCTACTAAAGTCAAGGTAAATGATATCCACTACTCTCCCCTCATCCATAGAGCTAATAATTTTATCACAGAAAGCAACCAAACTGGCTGGGCTTGAAAGGTCTTTGGTAAATCCATGCCAGTGGTTCCCAATCACCTTCTTGTCCTTCACGTGCCTAGAACAGTTTCTAGGAGGATTTGCCCCATAATCTTTCCAAGGACTGAGTTGCCACTAACCAGCCTGGAATTCCCCAAATCTTTTTTCTGGGCCTTTCTAATTTCTAATTCTACCATAGATCCTTAGCACAAGCCAGGAAGGTTACCTTACATTACAAAAATTATTCTCCTTTGCATGTCCTTTGGGAAATGAAGAATCTCAGCTGCAGAACATTTCTTTAAGTTTGACTTTATTCATTTGCTAACTTATGCTGGTTGTCTAACTGGCATTCTAATATTTTATGCTATTTGGAAACATGTAACTATGGCTAAAAGAAACTCCTTTCATCATAAGATACTTCCTATCCTGAAAGATGTCCGCTGTACTACAAAAGGAGATGAAGTATTAGGAAAAATAAAGAAAAGTAAGAACAATCAGCTTTTTAGTTTCAGCTCTCTCAGGACAGCTACATTTCAATATATCCAATTGTAAGTGCATAAACAATGCTGATGCCTAAGTTGTGATTGTAGAATAGAAGAGTGGAAGACTCGGAGATTGCATAGCTTTGCCAGTAAAGCCTGTTGTTCATTCTACTGTCTTTATGTGAATATAAAATCTAGTATAGCTTCTACTTGAATTATCCTCATAATTAAGAAATGTGTTTGGGACTTCCTATTTATTATAGCTACACGGTGAACATAAGTTGCTCTTCATCACTCAACTTTCTTACCTTCAGTGCCTCATAGTTCGATGTCCGAGTCAAGAAGTTTTCCCAAGATTTATTTACCATTTCCCTCTGCTTATGGATGGCTTGAATCTGTAATGTGAATGAGGTTTAGGTGATGTAACATATTCCTATTGCCATTAGCTCTCCTGAATTCTTTCCTTGTGTTGTTTGGACAGTTCACTCAGCTCTGCCCCTTTAGTTTGCCTCTCTCACCCGAGGTTGGATGAAAACGCTGTAGTGCTGCGCTCGTCTTCTAAAAACTTCAATCATGCCCTGCCTTTAAACACAAGACCTGCCTTTTCTGTTGCAAAATAATTTTCCCCTCCTCTAACAGAGATGTTGAAATAGCCCCTGCTCTTTCAGAAATATTTCCTGTACATTCTCATTCTCAAGCGCTGAATAACAGAGATGGAATCCATTCTGGTGACAAAAGTGCATATAATGCATGACATGTCCCCCAAAACACTAGCACAGGATTTTAGACAGCTGGGCCAACTGATCTTATTTCTTAGAATGGGGCAGAGGATGAGACAGTAGATGTGTGAACATGCCAAATCCTTGCCTTATAACCAAAGCTAGACACCAAAGCTTATACCCCACTCATTCTCAGCATTCCGGGAAACGCAAAGCCCTGGTTTCTGAAATAATGAATCTTGAATACTCAACCAGCAGAGCTTAACTGAAATTACAAGAGAGGCTTATGTTTCATTTTGAGAAACAGATCTAGTTGCAACGATTACTTTAAATTCTCATCCGGTACAGATGAAACACAGGTGCAACTTTTATAGTAACAAAGTGATCACTTGTCATTATACCATTGCTGATGCTTCACTGCTTATACGGCTTCCTTTACGATGCTGCTTCATTTTTTTCATGTTACTCTCTAAATATTGGCACAATTATACAAATTGAGAGAACTGAGGTTAACCTAATTTTTAAAATTACAACTTTACTGTTGAGACAGATTAAAAATATCTTAAAATAATGCACATATATAGGATTCTGATCAAGACACAGTAAGAAAATCTTTTACGAGATTTTCTTGTAAAACAATTTACACGGGCTTTGTATAAAATTCTTTATTTTACCTTTGCATAAGCCTTTTCCTCCTCTTGGAGTTCTTGATGCTGTTGATTTTCGAGCATTTCAGTCTGAAGAGCAGCAATCATTCCTCCAACATCTTCGGATACCTCTGAAATAACTTTCAAGGCATCCTCATCTGAAGTAACGGGCCTGAATTCTTTTTTTAATTCTTCACATAGTTCCCTCCAAACCTCTCCAACCTGTGTGAAACATGCAGAACACTATTTGATATTTATTTCTTATTTCTATTCCAGTAATTCAAAATATCATGCAGAAATAATCTCTCTCCTTATTGTTGTTTTGTTTTCCAGAATTGTTACGCAAGCTTAGACTTTTGTTACACTATGCCAAATTCATTCACTGTTATCCTCCCTAAGCTCTTCAAGCTTGACTCTGCAAAGGAGTAACAGGAATGC